AAAATTTCAAACCCAAAGGAGATCTAACAACAAAATCGTTTTACTAAATTATAGTAAAATAGTGCAAATCAGGCGATTACAATACATATCTATCAATATCTGAAATTTTTCTAAAGAAATTTACGTTGTTTTTTCTTTCTTTCTTTTTTTGTTTTTTACAAAAAAATGTGTTGAGAACTGAAGTTGAAACTTTCGGCTATTGGCCGTTTCTTAATAATTACTTATTTACATTTTTTTTTTCTATAATTGTTAATAGATCTAAGAAGATTCAATGTTTATTGGTCAGACCATGAATAATAATTGCAAAAGTTGAACACATTTGTAAAGAACTGGAGTTTTTTTTTTTTTAAAAAAAAAAACGACAGTTTATGATCGATTGCAACAAAAGATCGCTCTCTGGTCCGATTTCATTAATTTTAAGGTTACTTAGAGTCATTTTTTTTTTTTAAAAAGTTAACATTTATAATGCAATCAAATTTAACATTTCTTTCAATTGTTATGTGTTCTTTGTTCTATATTAATTATTTATATGATATAATTTTGGATTTTTGTATTTTTTTTTTTGCAAGTACATGTGTGAAAATTTGGCTGGATATTCTTATGTGTGTTTTATTTGATTTTGTAATTTTAAAACTATTTTCTTGTATGTTATTTTTACGAATCTGAAATATATAATATTAATATATGATACATTAATACGTCATAAAATGATTAAAAATATAAGTGGAAAATAATAATGTTCTTGATTTCTGCATATTGTTTATACCAAACTTGTCAACCAAAGAAATTATGCATGATTCATGCCAGTCTGCCAGACATATCTGTTACATATTGAAATGATTAGAGAAAAAAAAGCAAACAAATTAAAATAATAATTTCTGCGTGATAGTCACACATTTTCATTACCAATAGATATTTTTTAAAAAGTCAAAGAAAACGTTACATTATGTGGAGTTGAATAGAAAAAAAGGAAAAAAAAAAATACATATTAAATTTGGTGTTTTGTAAATGCTTTAGGCGGGAAAGCGAAATAATATAATTTAATGTTGCTTATAATAAAATTAAATGTTGTTGCTCCAAATTATATATTTATAGATTATACGTGTTTTAGATACTATTTACATAGTATAATATTTGTTGTTTCTAATTTTTTAGTAGTTCTAAGGATTAATTAAATTGAATGTGAGAAATAAAAACACTTGAAAATTCGTTATTTGAATTAGGAGAGCATGCGTATTTTACAATTTCATGAGGTTAAATTAGAAATTGCAATAAATTTTAATACCGTGTTAATTGTTAGTGAATTTTATGAGTCGAAAGAATGTAGAACACAATTTTTATACTATCAAATTTAAATGATTGTGAAATTTTATATTGCAACTTTATTATTTACTTTAACATTTTTAAGTAAACTTTACTTATTATATATATTTAATGTAATTTTATGCTATTAAAAATTATATACTCCCCTCAAAATGTCATCGACTTCAGATCTGTCAAGTACATTATATTCAAAATTGTTTTGTCTCGTTTATTAAATAAACAAAATGTGAGATAAAGTCTGGTTCATACACTCGAACCATTTTAATAAATTCAAAATTTAAATTCTTAAATTTAAATCGAATTGTTTGCGAACACGTCTATAAACTTAATTTATTGTTGAAATTCGTCTCATTTAAGTAAGTACAACCTCAAACTTTCAAAAATCAACCCAAGTTATATTCTTAAACAACTATGGTTGAATAATAGTCTAGTACCTCCCAAATATTTTTTTCTGAATCCGCCCCTGGTTTTTGTCACTGACCTTAGTATGTACATTAAGTTCAGTTGTGTTTTGGTACTATTGTTGGTATGTTGGTGATTCTAGAGCATCCAGGTGTGTGGGTGACTCTCTTGTATTACGGCCAATCGATACTCAGATTGTATTCGTGTACATTAAGTGCTACATAAATCTTTATCGTTTCGAAAAAAATATATCATAAAGTGGGTTCTTATTAAAACATTATCTTTCACATAAATATTGATTTTAATTAAGTTTCATTATATATATATATATATATATATATATATATATATTTTGTACAAAGAAGGAGGCCAATGACCCGGATGTCGTGGTCTTCTCGCCACACATTGACTATCGATTTCGGCGACAACCTGTCGGAAGCTCAACTCCCATGCCAACTGTAGGCCCTGAAACAAACCCCACATTTCGGCCCCAATAGTGGTGCAAACCCCAATATTCATGAAAAAACCTTCAATCCATCTACCGAGCTCATCTCGAATTAATCCACCCGCACTACACAAGCCCGTGTTGCGGCTAGCGGCCCCGTCTGTGTTCACCTTGACCCATCCCGATCTGGCGAGTAAGTTTCATTATAAATTCAATTAGATTGTTAAAATTATTAATGCTCATTTAATATATTAGAAGTTAGTAAGTATTAGTTAGTAGTTAGTTGTTGAGAATAAGTTAGCTGGTTGTTAAGAAAATTAGTAATTAAGATTAGGAAATAGTTAAATAAGGCGGCAGAATGGACCGACATAGTGTGTATATAAATATGTGTGTGTGCTGTACAATTTGAGCAATGAAAAACAAAAAGATTACATTACATAAACTCATACCTACCAATTCCACTAAAGATCATTTAAATTACCAAGTCTCTTCAGCACATTATTTTTCATTATTTACATATATTCCACAACTAACATTAATTAAGATACCAACATAGATCAAACTAACTACGTGACCCACAATAACCGAGATGAATAATTTATTTATTTTTAATAAAAAAATGCATCACGCATATATTGCACGTATTTCCTACGAATTGATGGCAGACACCACCACCATGTAAGCTAGAAATTTGCATCACGCATATATTGCATGTATGGATGCCTGAAAAATAGAAGTTAAAAGGAGTATGAATGAGCCCTGTAAGTACGCCCAATCCACATTATATATATAGACCCAGAGACACCCACACAATACACATCAATTCGCCCGGTTTCCAATAATTAATCCATCAACCAAAGGAAGATCAATGGCCAACTCATCATTGCCGTCCGATGAGGAATCGTGCTTGTTCGCCACCCGACTGGTGACGGCCTCCATACTCCCAGCTGTTCTCAAATGTGCGGTGGAGCTTGATCTGCTTGAGATCATAAAGAGGGAGGGCCCCGGCGGCTCGGCCTCTGCGGCTGAGCTTGCAGCCCAGATCGCCTCCCGAAACCCGGACGCCACCCTTATGCTGGATAGGATCCTCAGCCTCCTCACTGCTGCCGGTGTGCTCGAGTGTTGCCTTGCTGGAGAGGGGGCCCAGCGTCGGTACATGCTGGCGCCCGTGTGCAAGTTGTTGACGAGGAACGAGGACGGGGCCTCGTTGGCTCCTCTGTTGCTCATGAATCAGGACCGCCCCTTTATGGAGACCTGGTAAATTTTTTTATTTTTACATTAATATTAATTTCTCCTGCATTTTGTGTGTGTAACATAACAAGATTAGGAAATTCCTTTCATATATGGATAGATCGATCTGAATTATTAGGAAATTCTTTTCATATGTGTAGATTAGGAAATTCTCACTTTTGGTACAGATGATTCTAAACATTCTAAATTTTTATCCAACCATGTTAATTTGTATTATATATAAAGAGTAAATTATATTTTTAGTCTTGTATGTTTCACTATTTTAATTTTTTCGTCCTCTTCGAATTGAGTTTTTTATTTTCGTCTCGTATATTTGAAAAAAGGTTACACAATGGTCCTTTTCATACATACGAGACGAAATTGGAACACTTTCTTGGAAAACATAAAGGACCTTTTTGCTGCGAAAAGGATTTTTTTGTAACCATTTTCCAAACATACGGGACGAAAATAAAAACACAATTCGAAGAGGACGAAAAAGTTAAAGTAGTGAAACATACAGAACAAAACTTATAATTTACAAATATGAAACATACCGAGAACCGAACTGAACCGAAATTAAGAACCGAATTATAACATTAGATTTGTGTTATTAATATGTTTTATGTCAACTTTGATCCTATATAATTTGAGAATTTTTAAAATGCAAATAAAATGTACTAATAACAATAAAAGCTTCATTTACATCTCATACTTAGTAATACTTGATCTGCAATTGATTTTTTCTTGTTATAAAAAGATTATTTAAAATGGTATGAAAGGTAAAAAGAATATATATATTTTTTTAAAAAACTATATTATATTTTATTTTACATTTAAATTTATAATTTTATTTGTAAAATTTAAAGTTAAGAGTCTAAGGTTGATTTAAAAATAAAATCTTTAATATGAGGAAGTATTGATGATTTTTTCCTTTTTAAAGCATATAAATATGAAATAAATATATATTTTTTTAAAAAACTATATTATATTTTATTTTACATTTAAATTTATAATTTTATTTGTAAAATTTAAAGTTAAGAGTCTAAAGTTGATTTAAAAATAAAATCTTTAATATGAGGAAGTATTGATGATTTTTTCCTTTTTAAAGCATATAAATATGAAATAACCAAACTTTAGTTTACTTCTAAAATTGATTTCAAAGTAAAATCTTCAATATGACGAACTATTGTCGAATGTTGCTTTTCTTAAAGTATATGAAAATCTAAATATAATTAGGTAGTCATTCAAAATAAATTTAAAAAAATTAAAAAATCTCCGAAGATTTGAACCGAAACATACTGAACTGCGATAGTCTCGAATATCGAATTTAAGCATAAACATCTCTTAACCGAACCACTTTGATTTTTTGGTATGGTTCACAGATCGAATCTAGTGATCTCCAAATTTTGGTACGGTTCTGGAGATTTTTCAATCTCCGAACCGTACCGACTCATGCTCAACCCTAGTTACAACATCCATTCATGAATCAAATTTGGGCTTTGTTTCCATCCGACCCACTTCAGTTTCATGCATTTTGGACGTTGATTAGTATTGTATTGGGTGCCCGATAATTTATCGCGTGAACTTCTGTCCAATGCTTTGCGTTCATAAAAATAGGCTAAAATGCTGAAAATAAATATAAAGATATAAATATATATGAATTTATCCAAATAATAAATAAGTCAAAAGATATAAACGTGAGAATAAATTAAACGTATAAAAATACACTATTTAACATGCAAAACGCATATTTTTCGAGCTATCAATATTAATTGAATATTTTGAATGCACATTTAATTTATACAAAATGCATATTTGTTTATACATAGTTTATAATAGGGTCAATTGTGAAAACCGACGGTCGTCGCCGAAAGACAACAATGAAAGTTGAAAGTTAACGGGCAACGCCAACGAACAGCAGTCAAAGGTCAATGTTAACGATCAACATTAAATGCATATGGTCAACATTCGAAGTCAACAATCAGAGTTGGTGGTCAAATTAATATTATAACAATTATAAAAAATTAATAGATTAAATCTTGGTAATACAATTTGTTCACTATATAATGAGTATGACTGTGACTCACATTAGCATTTTAAAAATAGGTAAACAATTGATCAAATCTGTACGTTAAAATCAATAAAGTAACACGAAAATTTGTTGAATCACATATAAATAGTTAATTCATTGAATTACTAAAATGGTTTTTGAAACACCACTTAATTAATTATATTTGTGAAATTATTAGGTTCCATTTGAAGGATGCAATTGTGGAAGGTGGAATGCCGTTTGAAAGAGCCCATGGCATGAGCGCATTCGAGTACACGAAAAAGGACATAAGATTTAACAAGCTATTCAACGAAGCTATGGGTCAACAATCCACACTCTTCATGAACAAACTCTTGGAGCTGTACAGAGGATTTGAAGGCCTCAACTCCCTGGTCGATGTAGGCGGTGGAATTGGAGCTTCGCTTAGGATGATTGTATCCAAATACCCGTCAATTAAGGGCATCAATTTCGACTTGTCCCATGTTATCCATAATGCTCCACCTCATCCCAGTACGTGCACACCATGCATGAATGCATGCATTAATTAGTTAACTGAATTTTATTTTAATTAAGACCCATATCAACAGGAGTGGAGCACGTTAGTGGAGACATGTTTGTGAGCGTGCCCAAAGGAGATGCGGTTTTCATGAAGGTATATATATATATATATATATATATATTGGATCCTCTTAATAATGAAATTTGATGTGCAAACTAGGAAATTCTTGCTAAATTAACCATTGAAGTTGTGCGTTCTATACATGAATTTCAACAAAATTTAAAAAATGGTCGACTAAGTTGGCCATTTTCTGAAAAATATCCATCATATAGGGTATTGTAAAAAATAGTTCACTAAGTTGCCTCTTTAATCAAAATTCGTACAACAACCAACACAGTGTGCTAAAAGTGATTGTCATTTTTAGTACACTATGTTGGTTGTTGTACGAGTTTTGATGAAAAGTGACAACTTAGTGGCCTATTTTTATGACACCCTATATGATGGATCTTTTCAAAAAATGACCAACATAATGTACTAAACCCATGGATTTATAATGCAATTAACTCATGATTTGATGTTTTTACCCTCAGTGGATCTGTCACGACTGGAGCGACTCACAGTGCGTGAAGCTGCTGAGAAATTGTTGTGAAGCAGTCCCTGCAGAGAAGGGGAAAGTGATAATTGTGGATCTCATTCTTCCGGATATGCCAATAAATACAGACTTATATTCTTACATCGGCTTCACGGTTGACATGTCGATGATGGCCTACAACCCAGGTGGAAAAGAGAGGACTGAGAAGGAATTTCAAGCGTTGGCGAAACAATCTGGATTCAAAGATTTTCGGAAAGTTTGTTCCACCTTTGGAACTTGGATCATGGAGCTATACAAATGAATAAGCACGTATAAGAAAACCTCATATATAAGTCATCCTGCTTGTGTTGTCCTTTTATTTTTCAAGTTATTCCTTTTTTCTTCAAGGTTTTTAAGTGGTGATGATAAATATCTACCACAATTACATTGTGGATCACCAAATGATTTTAATTAGCAAACCTAATGATAATTAAAAAGCAAAAACAAACTTCAATAGTTAAAGACTAACGTGGAGGCATAATTTCAAAATTGGTCCTATAATTTGGCCACTTTCCAAAAAACCACCCCGCCATTGGCCACTTTCAAACTTGGTCCTATAATTTGGCACTTTAATCAAATTTGGTCCTTTTAATCCAGAATATGGATTAAAATGAGATTACAAAAGGACCAAAATGTCAAATTATAGGATCAAATTTGATTAGAAAAGGACCAAATTTGATTAAATGGATAATTTATAGGACCAAGAATGAAAGTGGCCAATGGCGGGGTGGTTTTTTGAAAAGTGTCCAAATTATAGGACCAATTTTGAAATTATGCCCTATCGTGGAAAACAACTTCAACACCATGGAGATCTTTAAAATGCCATACTTCACGTCACATAAAATTATGATGTGGTTGAAAGATAAAGTTGGGTAGGTGAGCAATTCCATATTTTTTTATGAGAAATGCTATAGGTACATAATATTGTATATAGAGGTGTACATAAAACTCACATTAAGTGGGTTCTAACAAAAAATCAAGTGAACCCCCCACTCCATGTGATGTTATGTACACATTTATGTACATTTATTATGTACTTGTAGCATTTTTCTTTCTATATATAGTTTACTTATATATTTCATTTTACGATAAGTTTTTACTAGAATAAAACAAGAATTGAAACACGGGTATATAACGTAGAGTGAGCTAAATTGTGTTAGAACATGGAATTGTTGTAGTTTGAAACTGTGTTGTAACAGTTTGGACTTGTAACATAAATTTGAAATTGTATTGTAACATGAAATTATGCACACTTGTACAGTTTGGACTTATGCAACTAGACTCCCTTTTAGCCTAGTCAATAGTAGGGGTGGGATTATATACCCGATAACCGGAGAACTGAACCGGACCGAACCGTAAATAACCGGTTCGGTTCGTTTTTTTTTTTTTAAAAAAAAAACAGTTTTTTCGGTTCCAGTTATTTTATGCACAAACCGGTTCCGGTTTTCGGTTCCTCTCCAAATGTTTGTGTATTAATCGAAAAACCGACTATATATATGAAATATACATGTTTTATATGTTTTTATATATAAATCGTTCCGGTTCTTGGGATATAATATTCGGTTCCTCATTTTTTATTTTGGTTCTCGTTTTTTCATGATACATTTAGCACATGAGTTGCATTTTTTTGGTCGGTTATTAACTCAAAACCGGTTATTTTTGGTTTTTTTTCACAAGTCGGTTACCCAAAGAACCGGAAAAACCGAACCCTTATAACACGGTTCGGTTCTTTTTCGATTCCTATAAATAATTGTGTAATAACCGAACCGGTTATTTCGGTTCGGTTTCGGTTCCGGTTCTTGAAAAATTCGTTAAGAACCGGACCGATCCCAGCCTTAGTCAATAGTATACTCGATCCTACCAACTACTTCTCTGGCCACAACCCGTGGACTTTAACACTCGAATCTCTCGAGCAAACCAGCACTTAATCCCTAAGTACTAAAACAAAGTATCTGAATTAAAAATATGAAAACCAAAGAAAATAAACTCAGTTCATCGATGTCATAAGAACACCAAAGAACGAAATATTGAAAGAAAATCTAAGAACAAAAATTCTTGAACTCACAACTGAATGCTCGAATAATGATAATCTCTCAATATCTCAGCAGCTTTTAATTGATCTTCAAGATGGGTATATGTAGCTTCTCCAATTAGCTACCCATTGTCCTTGAATGATGATTTCCTTCCAATCAAGATATCTAGCATGGTAAGTGAATATTTTCTTCTTAATCACAAATCCTCTCTCTCTCTCTCTCTCTCTCTCTCTCTCTCTCTCTCTCTCTCTCTCTCTCTCTCTCTCTCTCTCTCTCTCTCTCTCTCTCTATTAAATTTCCAAACAAGACGCCACTTCTCCCATGTCACACGTCCACTTATTCTATAACATATAAACAAATAAAAACACATATTATCTTATATTATATACATATAAATTTAAGCATAAAATGACTATAAATAAATAAATAAGATTTTCCATTTTTTATAAATTCCTTTTGCTTGCAAGATTATATCTTGAATATATTATTTTTGAACTTCATGCCAAAAATAAATCTTTCAATATCCCCATTCGACAACTAGTTTGAAAATCATATCATGAAGATGAACTGAAACATGAATAAGAACAACAAGCAAAATTATTTCATAAAGTAGTACTCAAAGGTTAGGTCAAACCTAGAACTGTAGTAAGTACATCACAAAACTTAATTGTCTAGGAACACAACAACATAACACACCTGCAATAAAGATAATAAAGATAAAATGAATACCAAGCAACTACCATTCAACCTACTTCAAAATAGATCATTGTCTAAAAACATCCACCAGCCATCATCAAATACCCGTACACACATAATAACAAAATAGATAAGATGTTCTTTTACATAAAAAACTCACTACAACCATCAAAACACTCAAAGCAAATAAAATAGAAACCGACATCATCCCGAAGAAGATTCCCCACTTGAATTTTCATCCTCACCAGCATCTTCATCAACAACCTTCTCAGTCTTCTCCCCCCCCCCTTTTTCGAACTACAAAATGTCAAAGGGCCTTTCCCCGTGTTTTTACGCTTATTTCCATGAACTGTTTGAAGAACCTGATGAAGATAGGCTTGCTGTGCAGCAGCTTTCTTAGCAATGACGTCCCATGCAGCCATCTGCTGCATCACAAATTCATCCCACATTATCAGTACCATAGAAGGAGCGCTTTTGACTTTGGCTTTGGAACTCGACTTTTTATTGATTGTGCGTGCAGTCACAGAGAATCGCTTCCCTAGATTCACCAATAGATCATTAAATCGAGGATTCACAGAGAAGTTAGAGGTAGTTAAGAATGACCAAATCAAATAGGGGGAAGAAATAGTACGTACGACAAGAATCAATGTTGGAAACAAACGGTCGTATGATCTCAAACACAATTTCCCCAAAGTTTACCACCTGACCGACCATAACATAATAGGCCACTTTGCATGTAGTTCAGTAAATTTATTCTTATTAGAACTAGAAGTCTAATTTCCAGCACCAATCTTATGAAGTAAGTTGGCAATGAGACAAAGAGAACTTACATGTATATTAGAACTAGACCAAGTATTTAGTTGATCGTCAATACGTAGAAGGGTACATGTATCAAGGTTAACATCAAGAAAAGAAAGAAGGTAACGAGACAGACCTAAATGAGCATTTATCAAAGAAGGAGAGAATTCAACAACTCGATTTCGAAGGGACATCTTTTGGTAACGAGGCAGGTAAGAACACAACATGGGTTAAATTATTATAGAACTCTCGAACAGCTTGGCTACAAAAAGGTTGAAGGTCAGAAACAGTTTTGGACTACCCTACATTCTCAACAAGTTCCAGAACACCTTAGTCAATAAACTTGCCACCTTCCACAGGGAGTTCAGAAAAAAAATGCAAAATTGGTAAAGGTTTCAAAATGATCCTAAGCTGTGAAAGTTTAAAACCAACATAAAAACCTTTGAATACACTGCCACTGTTTACCATTTCTATCAACCCTTTGAAGCTCTGCACTGTACCTCCTAAGTTTTCCATAGTGCTCCTTCTCTGTACCTCTAAGCAGTTTAAGAGCTTTAGTTTTTGCTTTGTGCAGTTTCCACCTAGAGGGTTGCACACCATATTTTTCACTGATTAAATCCTCTAAGTCAGAAATCTTCAACTTAGGCTTCTTTCTAATCATAGGTAAATACTCCCCAGCAACCCATGAAGCAGTTGCTTGTTTAGTGTTCAAGTCCCTATGGCAGCTGTGGCTACTAACAAAGGTCTTCACAGCCACACTACCTTCACCTTTTATCAGACTAGCATAAATCCTCCATGGACAACCCACTCCACACCTAGCTTCAATCTGAGTTGAACTACTTCTGACAAAACTTATGTTGCACCCATTATAAATTGCATAACTCTGAATTGCCTTCCTACATTGCCCAATGGTTTCAAATCTCATCCCAAGCTGAAATTGGAAGGTCTGCAGATCTCCCTTACCATCATAAACAATTTTTTTTCTTCTTACGCCTTGCTTCATCATCATCATCACCCAGACCCTCACCAAAAGATGAATCACTATTGACATTCCCCTTAGAATCTTCATATTCTGACTCAATATCTCTTGCAGATATATTGTTCTCATCAGCATCATGATGTGAAGATGGTTGTGCAAAGGAAATGTTTGCATCTCCATCATTTTTTGACTGTCTGGAGTTCAAAGCTTCTCTCCTAGCCTGAAGATACTCCTCATCATCTGTCCCTAAATCTTCATCAGACAAACCATCATTACTTAAAGATTCACCAGATGGTTCATAGTCCTCATCCTCACTTTTATCTAAAGCAAACTCACCCACCTTTTCAGTAGTATCCTTTGCTTGGTTTACTGCAACAACTTCAGATGCCCTATTCCCAGATTCATTTTCTTGTTCACAAACAGAAACCCCAGATGGTTTATTCAAGTGTTCAGTTTGCACAAATATTTTAACATATCTTCTGTTTCCCTGCATTTGACCCAGACATGCCGTAACACCAGCATAATCTGTTATATCCTGAAACTCATGTGTTGTCCGATGCTTATAACATATTCTACCCCATTCATCATATCCCAACTTCCTAATTTCATCTTCAATGTCAAAATAACCTAGCCTATCTGCATCCAACCCAGTAACCGTGGCAACACAATCACCATAATAGTAATCAAACCCTTCGACAGTGACAAATCTACCCTTGTGATTGATGAATAACATAAAGAAATCGCTGTAAATTCAAA